CAGCACCCCAGGTTCTGGTCCTAGTCAGGGCGCCAGATTCTGTCCCAGTTGTTCCTCTTCCAGTCCTCCTCTCTGCTGTGGCCTGGGAAGGCAGTGGAGGATGGCCCAGGTGCTTGGGCCTTGCACCCGCATGGGAGACCAGGAGGAAGCACCTGGCTCCTGGCTTCGGATTGGCGCAGCGCGCCAGCCGCAGCGCACCAGCCATAGCGGCCATTTGGGTGGGTGAACCTACAGAAAAAGGAAGACCTTTCTCCCTGACCCTCTCTCTCTCACTGTCTAACTCTGCCTGTCAAAAAAAAAAAAAATTTATAAAATTTGACATGACCTGTCATACAGCATTTGGAGAGATAAGGTCTGACAACATCTGTGATTTTAGAAGCTATCCATGCATTCAGCAATTTGAGTAATTATTGGTATGCTAGACACCTGAGAGAGTACTCTAATAAGGTTAAAGCATGGTCTATGACTTCAAGGAGTTTACCTTCTAGTAGGGTGAAAATTTTGCAATTACAATTACACTGCAGTACAATTCTGTGTAATACCAATATATCTACGAAGTACAGTAGGTACATAAACCACTGTAAGTTATCATGGAGAAAGAATCATCTAACCTGAATCTTAAATAAATGGGAATTTGCAGTGTGAGAAGCAGGAAATGGTCTAAACAGTGAAAATGGCAAATAAATGTAAATACAATACACTGAAAGTATTTTCTGCCGACCACCAGAAATGGTAGTTTTTTTTTTTTATTTTATTTTTTAAAGATTTTTATTTATTTGAAAGAGTTATACTGAGAGAGAAGGAGAGGCAGAGAAAGAGGTCTTCCATCCACTGGTTCACTCCCCAGTTGGCCGCAATGACCCGAGCTGCGCCGATCCAAAGCAAGGAGCTTCTTCCCAGGCATCCCACGTGGGTGCAAGGGCCCAAGGACTTAGGCCATCTTGTACTGCTTTCCCAGGCCACAGCAGAGAGCTGGATCTGGAGTGGAGCAGCCAGGACTCGAACCAGCACCCATATGGGATGCCAGCACTGCAGCTTTACCCACTATACTACAGCGCCGGCCCCGGCATGATAGTGTTGTTAGAGCAGACAGTTAAGAGCAAGGGAACCCTGTTTTATATTAAAAGTCTCAAAATGCATCCTCCATAGCTTAAATAACATCCTTTATCTTTAGCTACTTTTAAGTGGAAAAAACATTTTGACATAGGGAAGATGTTTATTTGGAAAAGGAACCTAGGTGCTAGTATAGTAGTTAATCAGTAGTCTTTGTTTACGTGTTTGCTCCTTGTTCTTATACTGTACATTTGTATGGCTTGCTTAAACCAAAAAGCATAAAATCACTGAAAGTACTAAAGTTTCCTTATGATATACATAGAGTTTGCTTTAATTAAACAACTTTCCTGTCCTTCTTCCTAAAAGGACAGTGGAAATGTCTAACTGATTTTGTTCAGCAAAACAATTCTTCACTTGATAGTTTCTAACAGCTTTTGCCCAGGGTTCTCATACAACCGTATCATTTGCTCAGCAGGAAGAAAGGTCTGTTAGATAGAAATAGTCTATCCTTTTTGATTTATAGTATTTAATTCTATAAATTCTAAAAATCTTTACCCTTTTCTGAACCTATTTGTGAAGTGCATCTTTTATGATACCTTATTTAAAATAATCTTGAATAAATTTATTTTGATTTCACAATCCAAGATGTAATTCATCTTGTTTTTCACACCAAACTTAAAAAATAGATACTCCTGTTTCAAACTAAAAAAAATTATTAGGTTGTAAAATATGATTTAACATTTAAAGTCTATGGAAAAGAAGCCTGAATACAGAGAAATCCATGGATTTGTGTGTTGTTCTTGGCACCATGTTAGCCTCTTCCTAATTTTGAAGCCAGTAAGATGCATTGAGTTTTTGAAGCACCTTTGTATGTACTATCCATATATCTGCACTGTTTTTCTTCTGTATTCTCCATTGGCCTATGTCTGAGATAAATAATTATGTGGCAAGTTCTCAAAGGGCTGTGGAATTGAATTTTTATAAGCAAATAAATGTTTTCAGCATGAGAGTCACATAGTAGGAAGGAAGCTAAACAGCAAGTTGGGAAACACAGATTCAAGTCCTCAGTTTCTATTTAATCAACATACTTGTCCTTCGGTATATTTCTTTTCTTTTTTTTTAAGATTTATTTATTTTACTTGAAAGTCACAGTTCATAATGTTTCTGAACTTAAGAGCTCTTTCTCTCCCTCTCTCTAAGATTTATTTATTTATTTATTTGAAAGTCAGGGTTACAGAGAGAGAGAAGAAAAGGCAGAGAGAGAGAGAGAGGTCTTCCATCCGTTGGTTCACTCCCCAGTTGGCCGCAATGACTGGAGTTGTGCTGATCTAAAGCTAGGAGCCAGGAGCTTCTTCCCAGTGTCTCACATGGGTGCAGGAGTCCAGGGACTTAGGCCATCTTCTGCTGCCTTTGCAGGCCATAGCAGAGAGCTGGATTGGAAGTGGAGTAGCCAGGACTTGAACTGGCGCCCATATGGGATGCCAGCACTTCAGGTGGTGGCCTTACCCACTATGCCACAGTGCCAGCCCCCTAAGGTTTATTTATTTGTTTTTGAAAGTCACAGGGTGGAGGGGACAGATCTTCCATCTGGTGGTTCACTTCCCACATGGCCACAATGGCCAGCACTGGGCCAGGCCAAAGCCAGGAGCTTCATCCAGGTTTCCCACGTGCATGGCAGGGGCCCAGACATTTGAACCATCTTCCGCTGCTTTTCCCAAACCATTAGCAGGGAGCTGAATTGGAAGTGGAACAGTCAGGAACCAGTGTCCATATCGGATGCCAGTGTTGCAGGCGGCAGCTTTATCCGCTATGCCACAATGCTGGCCCTTTATCTTTATGTCTTTAATGAAAATTATTTGAGCTGGAAGACCTCTAAAGTTCAATAAATATATAACCTGAATATATTGGAACAATATTGATTTCAAGTCTCTTATGACTTCAGTGTCTGTAAATCAAATTCCAGTATTTGAGACTCTTCGTGCCTGGAAGTGTTACAGAATTCCTTTATTAAGGCTGGTGCCGTGGCTCACTAGGCTAATCCTCCGCCTGCAGTGCCGGCACACCGGGTTCTAGTCCTGCAGTTGGGGCACCGGTTCTGTCCCGGTTGCTCCTCTTCCAGTCCAGCTCTCTGCTGTGGCCCAGGAAGGCAGTGGAAGATGGTCCAGGTCCTTGGGCCCTGCACCCGCATGGGAGACCAGGAGGAAGCACCTGGCTCCTGGCTTTGGCTCGGCGCAGCACTGGCCGTGGCGGCCATTTGGGGGGTGAACCAACGGAAGGAAGACCTTTCTCTCTGGCTCTCTCTCTCACTGTCTAACTCTGCCTGTCAAAAAAAAAAAAAAAAATCCTTTATTAAACCATGTGGTCTGAGCTTGATTTGGAACATATAGTCCTACCATTTCTTTATTTTCCTCCCGTACTGAAATAATGTGATTCTTAGATAGCTCCAGAGCAACATCCCGTTTATTATCCATGATGTCACTTCCTTTTCAAGGCCTCCCTTCCCCAGACTTTCAGCTACTTTAACTTTTTACCAAAATTATAATTTTTGTGTCTTCAGAATTATATAATTTATCTTTTTTAAAAGTTCATATAAATTATCTCACAATGCCATTTGTTTAGAACACCTAGATTGATGAATGCTTACTATGTATAATATACTTAATAGAACCTTAAGTACAGAGCCAAAAGAAGGAAAAGTATAGAATTTAAATAGTGATTTCTGTCAGAAAAAAAAATGGGGGAAGTATTTGTGGGGTTTAGTTATAATTTGCTAGGGGTGTGCCTTTATTTTCTCTGTGTTCCAGGTCTTGCCTGAAACCTAGAAGCCCCTTTCTTCCCCCTCCCTTCTGGTGCTGTCAGTGGTGGTGATCACCTCTGAGGAAGAAAAGCCCACTTCCCACTGACCATGGAGAACACTCAGCATCTCGCTTGATTGTGACAAGGGCAGTTTTTGGATGGATCATGAAATGCTTCTAAAGTAGCCAAGAATTAACTCTCCCAACTTTTTATATAATAAGCATGTTACCACCAAGGTAACTTACCCAGAGGAATCAACTACACAGTGGAATCACATTATTTGCACATTTAATTCTTGCAAATTCAGCTCTACTAAAAAAAAAAAAAAAAAAGAAAGAAAGAAAAACAGAGAAAGAACGTGAGTGAGAGAGAAAAATGATAATTTAAATAGCACATGTTCAATTTTCCATTTTAGTAAGTCCCAGGCAGTGGACTATATGTTGGTCAGTCCTTATTGGGGAAAACCATAGAAAGAATGTGAGGATGATTTTAAGGGTGGCCAGGCAGGTGGGTGGGAAAGGTTGATATGTACAAGGGTTATTGAAGATGGTTGACAAGCTTCACCTAAGAATTAGGGGAAATGACAAAGAAGTCCCCAGCAAAAATGATATGTTGAGTACAAGTGGAAATTTTTGGGAATTTGCTAAGTGTTCAAAGGAGCAAAACACTTGACTGATTAAATTTCTGAGTGTTCTTTATGGATTTTCAGTGGTCATTTTTACTATATACTATTTCCCCCTTATATACAACCTGTCCTCTGTAAGATGCCACCCCACCAAATGATAATTGTATTGTCTTCTTTGATAGTGTAAATTGAGTAAGAAAGTGGATAATTTCAATAAGAGACTGGTTCTGGCTGGTAATTCCTTTTTTTTTTTTTTTTTAAGAGGGGAGCATGAAGTTTCTTCTTGCAAAAGTCGGAATTAGAAATCTAAATTGTAATAATAAATGACTATTTCTTGACCTAGTAATGTGTGCTATCTACACCATTATATTTATTGCTAGGGTCTTTTCCACCCATGTCCACTGCTTAGCTAATATTGGGATTACATAAATACCAATTGAAAAATAATAATTGAATTGATTTTTAAAAGATACTGTTTTAGTCATACATAGCATGTTAAGTACATTTTTCTTCTGTGATCATACAGGTGAACATGATTAAAGATGACGGGACAGTTATTCATTTCAACAATCCCAAAGTCCAAGCTTCCCTCTCAGCCAACACCTTTGCAATTACTGGTCATGCAGAAGCCAAGCCAATCACAGAAATGCTTCCCGGAATATTAAGTCAGCTTGGTGCTGACAGCTTAACAAGCCTTAGGAAGTTAGCTGAACAGTTCCCGCGGCAAGGTAAGTGTTTCAGCTTAGTACCTCTTTCCCTTCCCACCTTAATTAAAGAAACTAGTAATTTAAAAAGGTTTCCCATCTGAAATTGGAAGGGTTTGCCTCTGTGCAATTATCTTACTTTCTATAAAGTTACTTCTGTGGTTCGTAAAATTTTGTCTGTTTTTTTAATCATTATGTAGTGTTGTCATATAGAATATTCAGATATATTTTGGTAGTAATACAGTAAGTTGAGCAGTAATTACCTAAATGGAAAAGTGCCAGGTTCTGTAAGTCACATTTTTAAACAGTTAATTTGATATTCACTTCTGATAGTGAAAACAGTGTTATCACAAATCTACATTTTGTTAAATATTGTTGATTGTGCTATATATATTGTAACCGTAAGTTCTGAATGTCCAAGATAGTCCTGTTTCATATGTGCCTGATTGCCCCTAAATCAAATAACCTAAATTATTTCCCATTGCCTATATTACATAGTTAGATGCTGTCTTACACTAAAAGAAATGGGGGAAAAATTTAAATATTACTATTTGAAAAATATGGTTACTATAAATTTACTGACATCTTATTCAAACTCATCTGTTATTCTATTTTGCATGTAAATTTTTCCTTTGCTGTACAAATTGCCAGCTATGTTTAATGTGTATCTAATATATAAGGTTTTATTAATTTTAGTGATAGTCGGCCGGTGCCGCGGCTCAATAGGCTAATCCTCCATCTAGCGGCGCTGGCACACCGGGTTCTAGTCCCAGTTGGGGCGCTGGATTCTGTCCCGGTTGCCCCTCTTCCAGTCCAGCTCTCTGCTGTGGCCCAGGAGTGCAGTGGAGGATGGCACAAGTACTTGGGCCCTGCACCCACATGGGAGACCAGGAGAAGCACCTGGCTCCTGCCATCGGATCAGCGCGGTACGCCGGCCGCAGCGCACCGGCCACGGCGGCCATTGGAAGGTGAACCAATGGCAAAAGGAAGACCTTTCTCTCTGTCTCTCTCTCTCACTGTCCACTCTGCCTGTCTAAAAATTTAAAAAAAAAAAATTTTTTTTTAGTGATAATCTAACCAAAAATACATAAAAGGCATTTCAGATTTGACAGTATTTAGATTTTTTTTGAGTGACTATATGCAATCTAGACAGAAAAAGGGGATAAGACATTACAAGTGTTCTGAAAGGGTTTTTCTTCTCACTGTCTAATATTAAAATAAACTTTTTATAGTGTTGGATAGCAAAGCACCAAAACCAGAAGACATTGATGAGGAAGATGATGATGTTCCAGGTAAGTGACATTTCTTTTAAGATTTTTAGTATCCTATTTATCTCATTGAACTCATTGCACGAATGATTTTTAGGTTTTTGTTGTTATAAGCAGATAAGTGAATCATTCTTAGTGAAATGTCACAAGTTCATTTCTGCTTTTTCTATATATTTTCAGGCTTACTGTAGTTGCAACAGTTTTGTTTTTATTGGGATTTAAAGTTAGGAATTCTATTTACTTTTTCCTTTTTTTTCTATTCTTTGACTAATTTACTTTTTTCTTTTTCAGATCTTGTAGAAAATTTTGATGAAGCATCAAAGAATGAAGCTAACTAAATTCATTTTTGGTTTTTGGAAGCTAGCATGGACTAGATTTAACAAATCAGCTATGTGGTTCCAAAGTTTTACAGACACAGAGAACATCACCTGTTACTAGTTCAGTAATATAAATATTTTGTATATTAATAATGCTGTTTGTTCAGCATTGTTCGGTCATTTGATTTTGCATTTTGCACTTCCTCCCAGGATCTATTCTTTTGGTCAAAATATGAAGTACTGGTGCAGTTTGAGGGTGTTTTGGGTTTGATTCTTTTTTTTTTTTTTTTTTTTTTTTGGCTTTTTGTTGTTGTTGTTGTTGGGGTATTTTCAGTGTATGTATGTGTATGTATGCGTGTGTGTATGTTTGTATACAGTGGAGAGCAAATTGGAAAACAATTCTATTTATCTACCTTCTTCCCCTAGTAGAAATAAAACAAATCTTTACATTTGTTCCCAAATTTTCTTCCCCTAACAATGCGCAGAATTAATGAAAGTATCTTGGATTTCAGATCTGAAGAGATTTGGGAGGTTTGTTTTTAACTTGTTTGGTTAACTATCATATTTTTTATACACATCTTTAGGTTTAAAATGTCTGAGATATTTTGCCACCAGCTTCATGCTAGAGTAATAGGTAGCGTATCTTTGATATGGTTGCCTTAGATTCATGTACCTAGTCAGAAAAAATTTCTTTTACTGGCTTGCTTCCTAAATGTCTTTTTCCTCTCTTTTTAATCTTTAAATGACCTGGTAAGCCCATCCTAATGCTCTTCCTCATCTCTCACCTAGCTTAAGAAGGGTGTTCTCCATATAGAGTTAAGTGAGTGCCTAATGCCTTTTGTAATTTTGTTCCCTCAACTTAAGAAACAACAGCTCTGTCTTCAACTTGTATTTCCCCTTGATTTTACAGTTTGGTAGTTTTCAAACTGGAATCACTAGCATGTGCTTGCTAAGTAATCCGATGCCAGCCTTATCCTAGCTGTACTTAGTAGCAGGTGTAAAAATGCTTCTTTTTAAGCAAGGTTGAATTGAAAATGTCCTATTAAGTCAGGAGAAAATAGGCCATAGCCTCACCCCCCAGCACCAAATGGGCATTCTTATAAAATGGTACTGGCCCAGGAGGAATTCTTCAACCACTCTCCTGCTCTTGGCCTTGAACCTACCTCTGAGTTGGACCTTACTATTGTAGCTGCTCACAACACCCTCCTGCATGCTTAGAATAATGCTTTGGGGGGAGCACTGATAAAACACAGTATTTATTTTTTCACCTCCTTTCAAAGGACTTGGAGGTAAGTTGCATTCATTCACTAAAGTTTCCCTCTGGCTGTCTGATAAAAGCTTGCATTTTACTATATCTGCATTTATTAAAGCCAGTATTTAAGGGTAAGATTTAGAAAATATATCATTTCTCGGCCCACCAACAAACTACAGCTTGACCTTTTAGCATACCAACTTTTGTTTCCAGCTAGATATCTTTATGTGATATCTAAATTGCAAGATCAGTAACATAATGAGAAGTCTGTAGAAATGAAGGCAAAGTACTTAACGCTTTTTCATCCAAACACCTCAATTTATTTTATAAAGTTATGGATTTTTCCTGTTATGTTTTATATGATATATGGACGTAACAAAATAAAATAATAGTAATAAAATAACAGTACAAAAGAGGAGAATATTTCCTCTTAACGCTTCTCTTATTGTCTTCAGAATATCCTTCTTTTGTTTTTTTCTCTACTTTCTACTTCCAGATGAATTTCAGTGCAGTCATTGTTTGAAATAATGTTTCATCCATTGCTAAACCAATAGGTCTACATGGTCTGTGTGTATAGTCCACAAATCTGTTCCTTTGTATCAAAGGGACACACGGGGCAGTGAGAATTAGGGGACCACTTCAAATAGAAGTAGATAGACATAGGCAGCATAGTGAATAAAAAAAGAGCACACATCTGGAAGTCAGGAGACTTTTGGTTCAGTCCAAACTCAGGCACTATATGACCTTGCAAAGTTCACTTAACTATGAAATTCACCATTAGTCAAATGAGGTGTCCCTGAATCTAAAGTTTCCTCTGCTTCAGTGAGTCTCATTTCAGAAAATTTCCTAGGACATTTTATCATCTGTCAAAAGATGTCTGTTTTTAACAATATTCATAAAACTTAACGCTGCTACTTTTTCATCTTTAAATACATTTTAGCTACTCATCCAGAGGATCTCTGGTCAGTATTTCCTTTCATCTTATAATACAAAATGGCTTCTCTTGTGTACAATGAACCAATATTCTTTTATATGTATATTTTTTTTCTTAACATCCCCTTTCCTGAACAAAGGATAATGCACATCCTAAAATCCTCAACCCAAAGAAATTTTCCTGCCTTCAGAGTAGGCATAGAGTAATAGTTTGAATGAAACTTTTGTAAACTGTAGTGTTCTTGGCATAAATAGGAGTTAAGTAGTTTTTTTTAATACATAAGAAGTAGTTGCCAAATATCTGCTTTTTAGTAACATTATATTGTTTTTTGGTTTGGGGGGGGTGTCTGTTTTGCCAAGATTACAATTGTATAAGCATTTTCTGAGGAAACTTGGCCTTAAATTTTGGGGATAATTCAAGAAATGTCTGCAAAAAATTGATTCATGGTCTTAATTTGTGTGGTTAGTCCTTTGAGTCTTTGGGGGAAGCCTAAAGTAGATAGTTCAGCCTTATATTTGTTTTTATTTTTATTTTCTATTTTCTATTTTATTTATTTTTATTTATTTATTTTTATTTTTTGACAGGCAGAGTGGACAGTGAGAGAGAGAGACAGAGAGAAAGGTCTTCCTTTTGCCGTTGGTTCACCCTCCAATGGCCGCCGCGGCCGGCACGCTGCGGCCGGCGCACCGCACTGATCCGATGGCAGGAGCCAGGTGCTTCTCCTGGTCTCCCATGTGGGTGCAGGGCCCAAGCACTTGTGCCATCCTCCACTGCACTCCCTGGCCACAGCAGAGAGCTGGACTGGAAGAGGGGCAACCGGGACTAGAACCTGGTGTGCCAGCGCCGCAAGGTGGAGGATTAGCCTAGTGAGCTGCAGCGCCAGCCGCTTATATTTGTTTTATGCTATTTTAGTAGCAGTTTAAAAATATATCAAGCACCTTAATTTGTTGTTAAATAACTAGTGCTTATAGGATTCTATTAAATTCATTTTAATAAGCCTACCAAGTTCTTGTGGAAAACCCATTTCTGGGATGTGTTTGGTTTGTTTCTTGTTCAAATTCAGTGTTTAATCCTAAGTATCTACATACTCATAAAGTATGATTATAAGAGACAGTATGGTATAGTGGGAAAAAGCACAGGTTTTTAGTTGGAGATCTTTTCCACTACCTATCATACTGTTTATATAACCTCTCCAATAGGGCTGCTATAATCCACAGCTCCAGGAGCAATCATTCATATTTGCTGTGTTCCAGAGAATACCATCTTCTATACCACAAAGTGAGTAGTGCCTGTGTTAAAAGTGCAGTGATGACCTTGCTCTTTGAGCCTGTTTCCTTTGTAAAATGATGCCACAGAGTCAGAGTTCCTTACAATCCCCTAAATGATTGAGGTGAAAATGAAAGATGGTTGAAGTGTATTTATCTTCCAAGCCATGACTGAAAGTTACTTTCTGGATCTCATGGCACCAGACACAACAAGGCCACGTTGAGCCTTTTAGCTTCCTTATTAGTCTTAGGATTCATTCCTTCTAATCCTCTACACAGAAGCCAGACTACCTAAGTTTCAAATGTGAGCACATCATAGTCTTATTATTTCCAACATAACATTCTGTTGCGTGCAGTACTAAGATTCTCTGATTTTCTTTATAGTTTCCCATCTACACTATAAGTGCTTTGATGGCAATATTCTATCAGATATCTTTTATCTCTACCTTCTAGCAGAGTGCCCAACATGTAGTGTATTCAAGACCATAATAACACTTACTATTTACTGCTGCATACAGTTAATTTAATTTTCAAAACAACCTAGTGAGGCCATTATAATCCCAGTTTTAAAGAACAAAAATGGTTTAGGGAAGTTGCCAAAAGCCAAATAACTAATTAGTGGGAAAATCATGATTCTAATCTAGAATTACCAAATTTCAGAGGTCAATTAAAAATCACTCCATACCACTCAACAAATATTTATTGAGTTGAAAATTAGGTGCACATACCCTCTTTGATTAGATATCCCTATGAATACACTCAATACAAACCTGATGGACTTGTTTTAAGGATTGTTTGGAATGTAAGTAGGGATTTTTTTTTTTTTTTTTAAGAAGTAGGGTTTGCAATTTGAATATATTCAGAAGTTGGAGGGAGAGGGTACAGGCATTTTGCCTAGTGGTTATAAACTAGTTAGGACACACATGTCTCATGTTACACTCTGAGTTTGATTCTCAGCTCCATCTCCTGATCCCAGGTTTCTCTAATGTGGACCATGAAAGGAGCAATGATAGCTTAAGTAGTTCTGTTCCTACCACCCACACTGGAGACCTGGACTGAATTCCAAGCTCTTGCTTGGCCCTGCCCTAGCCATTGTCAATATTTGGGGAATGGGACCAGAAGATGGGAATGTGCTTGCTGTCTCTGTCTCAATTTTTAAGGTGGCTTTATAAATTTAGAAAGTTTGCATACCTCGGACAGCAGTATTTGGGCAGGCATTCTTGGATTACATATGTTGATGTTAACAGTGGTATTAAAATTTTGCCTCCTTTTAGGCATAACTCCTCAAAAGTATTCTATAAACTTGAACAAGGAGGTAATGAATTTATCATGCAGCCATGTTTTTTGTGTTAAAAAAATCAAACAGTTCTATTTAAAAAAAAAAAAAAGGCAAGCCTGTTGGCATAACTAATAAATGAGTTCAGCCAAGTCAGTTATAAAATCAGTTTGCAAAAATATTGCACTGGGCTCTGTGTTTGGTGCACTGGTTAAGATACTGCTTGGGATGACTGTGTCCCATATTAGAGTGCCTGGGTTTGAGTCCTGGCTCCACTCCCAGTTCTGCTAATGCCCTCACTGGGAGGCAGCTGGTGATGGCTCAAGTGTTTGGGTCCCTTTACCCAGATGGAGTTCCAAGATCCTACCTCTGACCTGGCCCAGCCCCAGCTGTTGTGAGGGTTTGGGAAGTGATCTAGCAAATGTAAAAAAAATCTGTGTTTCTCTTTCCCTCTGTCTCAAGATAGAAGGTTCTCTCAAAATCAGTTGCATTTCTGTAGAGTAACAGTAATACAAAAAGGAAATTAAGTAAAAAATTCTGTAAGACACAACATGAAAAAAATAATAAACAGAAACTTAACTAAGGATGCAGAAGACATGCTGAAAACTACAAAATGATAGAAATTAAGCACATAATTGGAAAGCCATGCTTCATTGGAAGACAATACTGTTAAATCAATACTATCAAAGGTGATTTACAGATTGAATGCAATCCCTGTAAAAGTTCCAGTGATGTTTCTTGAAGAAATAGGAAAACCCTTCAAAAATTCATACAAGTTCTCAAGGGGCCCAGAATAACCAAAATAGTTTAAAAAGCGGGACCAGCATTGTGTCATAGGGGTAAAGCTTTCATTTGTGACACCCAAATCCCATATGAGCACTGCTTTGAGTCTCGGTTACTCCACTTCCCATCTAGCTCCCTGCTCATATGCCTGGGGAAAGCAACGGAAGATAGCCCAAATGCTTGGGCCCTTGCACCCATATGGGAGATGGAAACAAGCTCCAGAATCCTGGCTTTGTTCTGGCCCACCCCGGCCATTGTGGTCATTTGGGAAGTGAACTAGCGAATGGAAGATCTGTCTCTGAAACTCAGCCTTTCAAATGAATAAATCTTTAAGAAAAAAAAAAGTTTAAAAAGAACAAAGTTGGAAAGGTCACATTTCTTAATTTCAGAACTAACAATGACAATCAAATAGTTGTGGTCCTGACATATTGATATATATAGACGAATAGAATAGCCCAGAGGTAAACCCTCACAGGTATTATCAAATGATTTTCAAGGAGAGTGCCAAGGCTATACAGTGGAGAAAGGACATCCACATGCAAAATAATGAAGTTGGACACTTACACCATATGCAGGGTCCTGTAAAAGTTCACAGAAAATGGGTATTATGAAAAAACTGTAAATTTCATTTTTTTGTACCAAAATATTTTAAACTCCATTTCCACAGACCTGATTCCTTGTATACAAAAATTAGAATGAGTCAAAAATCTAAACATAAGAGCTTACAAGTGGAGGAATCTTTGTGACATTGAATTTGGCAATGATTGCTTAGGTGATTCCAAAAGCATAGGCAACAATAACAAAAACAAGATTACATCCAAATTTAAAATTTGGACATTAGAGGACACTCTCAAGAGAAAAAGCAACCCACAGAGTAGGAGAAAAAGTAAATCAAATGTTTGGTAAGAGATTAATATTCAGAATAAAAAGAACAAATAAAAAGGCCCAGTGTAAAAATGGACTTGACATTTCTACAAAGATGAAAATACACAGTAAGCACATGGAAAGATGCTTAATATCACTAATCATTAGGGAAGTCTAAGTCAAAGCCACAGTCAGCCAGCACTTCAAATCTAATAGGATGGAGAGAGCAAAAAATAAGTACTGGTGAGGATGTAGAGGAATTGGAACCCTTGTGCAATGTAAAATGATTCAACTACTGTGGAAGACAGTATAGTGGCTCCTCACAAAATTTAAAACTGTCACATGATCCTGCAGTTCCAGCTCTGGTTATAAAACAACACCAATGTTCGTAGCAGCATTACTCAAAACAGACAAAAGAACCAATGTAGTGTGTGTTTACAAGGGTTTGGGCCATAATTCTGAATGCTGGGATCCCTCAAGATAAAAATCTCTAAAATCTAAAATCCCTAAAGATCAAAATTCCAAAAATACAAATCTGGAAAACTAAAAATTACTTAAAAACATTTTTTTAATGCAGGATTTATTTGAGAAACAAAAGCCCAAGATACTTAATAGGCCACTTTATATACAGGCAATAATTTGTGTGTGTGAAGACATTTTATCTCCACTAAATAACTAGTAGGAGTGGAACTCTCAGATAATTTTTTAAGTGTGTGTTTTTAAGTATACAAATTTCATGTATACAAATTTAGGAGCATAAACTTCCCACTCTCCTATCCATGCTCCCACCCTTCCTCCTCTTTCCTCTCCTAGTCTCTCAGTTTTTACAATAAGCTATTTTCAGTTTACTTTATACTCAGATTAACCCTATACCAAGTAGAGTTCAAGAAATAGAAAAAAAAAAAAGCACAGTTCCTCAACAGTAGAGACAAGAGCTGTAAACAATCATTCAGTCTCAAAATGTCAGTTTGACTCCTATTTGTTACATTTTTGGTACTTTGTTAGTTACCACCCATCTATTTGTCTTTTTGGGACTGACTTATTTCACTAAATATAGTGAATCCCAGTTGCATCCATTTGGTTGCAATAGACAGGATTCCATTCTATTTTTTGGCTGAGAAGTATTCCATAGTTTATTTATACCATAATTTCTTCATCCAATCATCAGTTGGTGGACATGTGAGTTGATTACATGTTTTAGCTATTGTGAATTGTGCTGCAGTAAACATTGGGGTACAGATAACTCAATGCTGATTTTATTTTCTTTGGGTAAATTCCCAGAAGTGGGATGGCTGGGTCATATAGTGTATCTATTTTCAGCTTGCTGAGGTATCTCCATTCTGTCTTCCACAGTGGCTGTACTAGTTTACAGTCCTGTCAACAGGGGATTAAGGTACCTTTTCCCCCACATCCTTGTCAGCACTTAACTGCTTGTTGATTTCTGTATGACAGCTATTCTGACTGGGGTGAGGTGAAATCTCATTGTGGTTTTCATTTGCATTTCCCTGATGGCTGGTGATCTTGAGCATTTTTTCATGTCTGTTGGCCATTTGAATTTCCTCTTTTGAAAAATACCTGTTCAAGTCCTTTGGCCATTTCTTAACAGGACTGTTTTGTTGTTGCTGAGTTTCTTGAGCTCTTTATAGCTTCTGGATATTAATCCTTTATTAGTTTCATAGCTTGCAAATATTTTCTCCCATTCTGTCAATTGCCTCTTTGCTGAGTGTTTCTTTTGCAGTGCAGAAGCTTCTCAGCTTGATGTAATCCCATTTATCAATTTGGGCTTTGCCTGAGCTTCTGGGGTCTTTCCCAAAATGTCTGCCTATGCCAACATCTTGCAGAGTTTCCCCCACCCCAGTGTTTTCTTCTAGTAATTTGATGGTATCAGGTCCTAGATTTAGATCCTTGATCCATTTTGAGTTTATTTTTGTATAAGGTAGGAGTCTTTTTCATGGTTCTGCATGTGGAGATCCAATTTTCCCAGCACCATTTGTTGAAGAGACTGTCCTTTATCCAGGGGTTGATTTTAACTTTTTTTTTCTTTTTGGCAAAGATTAGTTATTTGTAGATGCATGGATTGATTTCCAGAGTTTCTATTCTATCCTGTTGGTCTACATGTCTATTTTTGTGCAAGTCTGAGGCTATTTTGATTATAACTGCCCTGTAGTATGTCTTGAAATCTGGTATTGTGATGTCTCCAACTTTTAAAAAAATATATTTATTTATTTGAGAGGCAAAGTTACAGAGAGGAGAGACAGATCTTCCATCCGCTGGTTCATTCCTCGAATGACTGCAATGGCCAGACCTGGGCTGATCTGAAGCCGAAAGCCAGGAGCTTCTTCTGGGTTTCCCACATGGATGCAGGGGCCCAAGCACCTGGGCCACCTTCCACTGCTTTCCCAGGTCATTAGCAGGAGTTGGATCAGAAGTAGAGCAGCCTGGACTTGAACCAGTGCGCATATGGAATGCTCACACTACAGGCAGAGGCTTAACCTACTATGCCACAGTGCCAGACCCTCTGGCTTTGTTTTTGTCATATAAGATTGCTTTACCTATTTGGGGTCTCTTGTGTTTCCATATGAATTTTAGCATTGTTTTTTCTAGATCTGAGAAGAATGTTGTTTGTATTTTTTTTTTTTTTTTGACAGGCAGAGTGGACAGTGAGAGAGACAGACAGAGAGAAAGGTCTTCCTTTGCCGTTGGTTCACCCTCCAATGGCCGCCGCGGCCGGCGCGCTGCGGGCGGCGCACCGCGCTGATCCGATGGCAGGAGCCAGGAGCCAGGTGCTTTTCCTGGTCTCCCATGGGGTGCAGGGCCCAAGCACCTGGGCCATCCTCCACTGCACTCCCTGGCCACAGCAGAGGGCTGGCCTGGAAGAGGGGCAACTGGGACAGAATCCGGCACCCAGACCGGGACTAGAACCCGGTGTGCCGGCACCGCTAGGCGGAGGATTAGCCTAGTGAGCCGCGGCGCCGGCCGTTGTTTGTATTTTGATTGGGATCACATTGAATCTGTAAATTGCTTTTGGTAGTATAGACATTTTGATGATATTAGTTCTTCCAATCCACAAATGTAGAATATTTCTCCATTTTTTTGTCTTCTTTTTTTTTAATGTTTTATAATTTTCATTGTAGAGATCTTTCACCTTCTTAGTTAAATGTATTCCAAGGTATTTACTTTTTTCTGTAGCTATTGTGAATGTAATTGGTCTTAGAAGTTCTTTCTCAGCCATGGCATTGTTTGTGTATACAAAAGCTATTAATTTTGTGTGTTAGTTTTATATCCTGCCACTTTACCAAACTCTTTTGTGAGTTCCAGTAGTCTCTTAGTAGAGTCTTTTTGTTCCCCTATCTATAGACTCATGTCATTTGTAAACAGGGATAATTTGACTTTCTCCTTTCTAATTTATATCCCTTTAGTGTCTTTTTCTTGCTTAATTGCTCTGGCTAAAACTTCCAGGACTATATTGAATAGCAATAGTGAAAGTGGGCATCCTTGTCTGTTTCTGAGTCTTAGCAGAAGTGCTTCCAACTTTTCCCCACTCAATAAGATGCTGGCTGTGGGTTTGTCATAAATTGATAGGCAATCATCTTAAAAGCATAGCCTAATGACACTCACATATGTATAACAGGAACAGATGAACCACACTAATAAAAAAAATGTGAAAATAAAATTTATAAATTCATATCACAATGCTTGGTAATTGTGCATACCCAGCTTTTTAACTGCTGTAATCAGAAATATGGTGACAGATTATCTGTAAGTGTTTTGACACAATAGATCAAATGCTGTGATGAGAGGCAGACATTTGGTGTAGCAGTTAAGATACAGCTTGGGATACCTACATCCCATATTGGAGTCTCTGTGTCTAGGCTCCACTCCATTTTCAGCTTCTACAACTTCTTGCTCATGGAGACATGGGGCTCTTGGCTTCAGCTACAGTCCAGCCCCTGGCCATCCTGGGAGTTGAAGAGTGAACCAGAGATAGGGTGGAGTGCTTGTGCTTATCTAGCTATCTTTATCCCTCTCAGATAATTAAAAAAAAAAAAACACCATGTATATGCAGTTGCCCAAAGACCTAAAATCTGGAGATATTTTTTCCTGCACAAATGCAGATGCACAAAAAGGGCATCTCTTCATTTACTGAGGATGTTTCTACATACACAATGTTCTCACAGGAATCAATGTTTGATAATCCACTTTCACAAATTTGCAAAAATGCCTAAAACAAAGTAGAGCTCTCTAAAAGTCTGCACAATTTATACCTCCAGTATTGGAAATGATATGAATATGAAAAACAATACTAGTGAATTACAAAAAATGCTGAGTTTAACGGAAAAAAATAAAAAGAAAATTGGAAATATGGAAACATACCTTAACAGATTATGGGCAACTGCACAGGTAGTCCACATGAGGTGGTCAACTTTCATGATTATTAACTTTTTTTTAAAGATTTATTTATTTATTTGAAAGAGTTACACAGAGAAGGAGAGGCAGAGAGAGAAGAGAGAGGTTTTCCATCTGTTGGTTCACTCCGCCAGTTGGCTGCAACGGCCTGAGCTGAGCTGATCTGAAGCCAGGAGCCAGGAGCTTTCTCTGGATCTCCTACACAGGTGCAGGGGCCCAAGGACTTGGACCATTTTCTACTGCTTTCCCAGGTCGTAGCAGAGAGCCGGATCAGAAGTGGAGCAGCCAGGACTTGAACTGGTGCCCATATGGGATGCCGGCACTGCAGGCAATGGCTTTACCTGCTATGCCACAGCACCAGCCCCACCAGCCCCAATAATTAACTTTTGAAGGCCTGCTTTCTTTCAGGCATGGCACTACTTGAATACATTCCCCACATTGATTTTCTGTATGGTGCTGCTCTTCTTGAAATTCTGTGGTTTGATGTACATTGAAGCACATTCTATATTTAATTTTCTCATCATCTGTGCTATGCTTCTATGTTGTTTTGGGTGTGTGGCAGTCTATTTGGAATGCACTCATGTACAGACCACAAATTTGGCAAAACAATACTGGAGATCAAACAGCAACACCATTGCATGTCTTCCCATTCTACCATACACGTAATTATGTTTGAAACAGTACCTTTGCTGGAGTCTTCGAGCATATGCAGCTTTAGTTCCTTAAATCTGGAATTTCATCAGCTTGAAGGAATGGCAGTGGAAACAAATTATGCATTTTACGACTGAAGATTTTATTGTTACTGTATTACATGGCCAATCCCTTCCCTAGAATTAAGCTTCAACTTCAGGATTGCAGCATTTAGAATTTTAATCTTTTGGGATTGTGCCTTTTGAGATTTTAAGCTTCAGAGGTTTTGGTCTTTCTGAATTTCAACATTCAGGATTATGGCTGTTGGTATTGTTTATTTTGGGGTTATGACTGGCATAAAATGGATGGAAGGATGGGTAAGAAGGATATATTGAGGTTGGCATTGTGGCACATTGGGTAAAGCTGCAGCCTGCAATGCCAGCATTCCATATGTGTGCCTGTTCATGTCCCAACTGTTCCACTTCTGATCCAGCTCCCTACTAATGCTCTGAGAAAAGCAGCAGAAGATGGTTTAAGTGCTTGGGCTCAGCCCCAGCCTTTGTGGCCTTGCGATGAGAACCAGTGGATGAAAGAATAAGTAAATAATTTTTTTAAAATTGAAAGAAGAGGTATATAAATATGACAGAATATTATTCAACCGAATAGGAAGACACTTTTAAGATTTATTTATTTGAAAGGCCTGGGGACAGAGAGGAAAGACAGAGAGAGAGAGAGATCTTCCATCCACTGGTTCACTCCCCAAATGGCCAAAACACCTAGGGCTGGACCAGGCCAAAGCCAGGAGCCTGGAACTCCATCTGGGCCTCCCACATGGGTGGCAGGAGCTAAAGTACTTGGATCATCTTCCAAGGCTTTCTCAGGCTTATTAGCAGGGAGCTGGATTGGAAGTGGAGCAGCCAGGACTTGAACCTGCACCTTGCAGGTTGCAGCTTAACTTGCTGCACCATAATGGTGGCTCCAGGGATGAAAATTCTGGCACATGCTACATACAACATGGATCAATCTTAAAAACTTTACGCTAAAGAAATAAGTGGGACACAAGACAAATTTGTGATTTCATGTATATCTTACCATAGAATGATCAAATTGACAGAATCACTACGAGGCAGATAATGTGAGAGTAATGGAAGTTGTTGTTTAATAAGTATAGAATTGCAATTTGGGATGATGAAAATGTTCTGGCAACAGTGGTGATGATAACATACAGTGTGAATATACTTAATGCCACTGATTTGTATACTCAAAAATGGCTAAAATGGTAAATTTACATATATTTATTATAAGATAAGGAAGAAAACTGTCAGCATGTATCTTGGGACCCCATGTTGGACCAACCAACTGTAGAGAAGTGTACCCCAACTATGTTTAAGAGCATCAAACACAGTGGATACAAAGCACCTCAGCTCCAGGTCATTTCCAAGATCAGTGTTGAGTGCCCTTGAGTGGGAGCTGTGATGAGCCAGAGATGGATAGGTGCCAATCCTTACCTTCACGATACTTCAGTTGTCAATTGGCATACATTCAAAAAATAAAAGATCATGGAATAAAGGCCCATCTTTATGTTATTTTAGACAAGGTTGTTACCACAGTGTATTAAGCCCAGTTCACATCCCCTCTGAAACTGTTTTACAACCCAGATCCTTCCTAAATAGTCATGAAATCAAGAGTAGAACACTGAGCCAAGATCCAAGGCATAGACTAAACTGGGCCGATCCACTTATTTCTGAGGATTTTATACTAAAATTAAAGAAATCACTGTTCAGAAGATAATGGATACTTGAACTGAATGGTCACATAGGATGTAACTACAGCACTAATGTTGAGCCATGTACAAATGAAAGCTGGTAAGAATGAAGCAGAAATAGCCGGCGCCGCGGCTCACTAGGCTAATCCTCCGCCTTGCGGCGCCGGCACACAGGGTTCTAGTCCCGGTGGCCCCTCTTCCAGGCCAGCTCTCTGCTGTGGCCCGGGAGTGCAGTGGAGGATGGCCCAAGTGCTTGGGCCCTGCACCCCATGGGAGACCAGGATAAGTACCTGGCTCCTGCCTTCGGATCAGCGCGGAGCGCCAGCCGCAGCGCGCTGGCCGCGGCGGCCATTGGAGGGTGAACCAACGGTAAAGGAAGACCTTTCTCTCTCTCTCTCTCTCTCTCTCTCACTGTGTACTCTGTCTGGCAAAAATAGTCTTAAACAACAACCTCAAAAATGATTTCATAATTCCTATGCCCACAATGCCTAGTTGTCCTTTTTCCGTTCCCTGGGTTATTAACTTGCCAGTGACATTTCTGTGTTTTTAGAAACATTTCCCTCTTTCACCATCACTCTAAGTTAGCTTAGGGACTGTTACTTACAACCAAATTATCCTAAAGTGAGGACATCTGAATATCCTTTACAATAATTTTTCTGATCATAGATGAAAAGGATTGCCTTGAAGAGCTTACTATCACTGGAGTACTTCAAGAATTTAATGTTAAATGAAGGAGTTGGAATAATAGATCAAGATATCTTCAGACTACTATATACCACTGGTTGGAAGGCATGGTGTTAGGAAAAGCAGAAAATTTGGGATGCCAGCAATGGCCCTACATTCATATCTTAGCTCTGTCATTCCTTATGTGATTTGATGATTTATTTAACTTCCTGAACCTCAGTTTTCTTATGGGAAGAGTAAGGGATATTAATACTTTGCAGAATTGTTAGGGAAAATAAATACATGAAATATGTGGCACATTAAAGACACTCAGTTAATTAGTTTTTATTGTTAAAAGTTGACCAGTGTGTCTTGTTAAATTATAAAATCACTAAATCATAAATCATAAAATCATAGTGATCTTAGCCCAATTTGAAGGAAGTATATTTTAAATTAATAGGAGTCTCATTTTTTTTCTCCCATTTGGCCCCTCTTTGTTGCCATCTGAATCCTAGCAAATGCAAGGGGAAGAAAAAAAATGGGTGAATTAAACAACATGCCAATAATTTAAAAAATTAAATTCTGAGAATCTTAGGGCAGGAAATAGGTTTTATTACATTTTTGTTTGTCTCCAATGTCCAGTGCAGAGACTAGCATATGGTAAACTCATAAATGGTAAATATTAAAATCAACTGAATTCAGAAATGTATGAATGACCAAATATTTGAGCCAAGTGGTGGCCAGAGGTTTTACACAATGTCACCCTCTACCACAGATAACTCAAGAATCACAAAATCTGTTGAGTCATATAGCACAAGTAGCACAAGCAGCAATATTGTTCATAGTTCAGCCTTGGTCTTTCAGAGTTCTTTCCTGCTCTGGGCCACAATCCAAGCTATCAACCTTCCAAAAGCAGCTGACGAATTTAGCACAGAAGTATTCCCAAATGCAGTCTCTTTTAAATTTCCAGAACCCAAAGAGGTCTAGCAAATTTACTTTCTTCTTTGTGGTAACAGGTGCAATGAGTATTTGTTCTTTGGAGGGAATTCTAGGAATGCTCCTGGTCACTGAATCCCTAAAAACTCTACTGATGTGTTAGGCCTCTGAATCTGTGTAGTTTCTCCCCGACACTATGAAGAGCATGTGCCTTACCAAGCATCCACAGTTCTTGCCACTCACTCCTTATCAGGTCTAATCAATATAATAGCATTGTACCGTAATGTGATCTACAAAATGGTCAAACAGTTCAAGTCCATTAGATTACAAAAGAGTGCGTGTGAACTGTAACATTAGGCAAGACCATGCATGTATACTCTTGCCCATCAGATTCTCCTTCCAGATAGGTGTGGAAAAGAACACATTTGCTAGCTTAATAGTTGTACATCCAGTACCTTGAGCCTATGTTAATCTCTAGAAAGATACACATTCAGCATAACAAGTATAGTTGGAACCACAATTTGATTTCAGTTTGCATTAGTCTACTTGTCATCTGCTATATACCTCAGGCAAGACTGGTGAATTAAATGGAAATATGATAGGGGCCATCATTCTTAATGTTCTTTGAAGTTTTCTTTTTTATTTGACAGTTATAGACAGTGAGAGAGAAAGCGAGCCAAAGAGAAAGGTCTTCCTTCCGCTGGTTCACTCCCCAAATGGCTGCCACGGCCGGTGCTGCGCCAATCCGAAGCCAGGAGCCAGGTGCTTCTTCCTGGTCTCCCATGCCACAAGCACTTGGGCCATCCTCCACTGCCTTCCTGGGACAGCAGAAAGCTGGACAGGAAGAGGAGCAACCAGGACTAGAACCTGGCATCCATATGGGATGCCGGTGCCGCAGGCGGAGGAGTAACTAAGTAAGCCATGGCGCCAGCCCCTCTTTGAAGTTTTAAAGGAGGCACTAAACTCTGCCATCCCATTAGATTATAATAGGTTTTAAAAATTTATTTTATTTATTTGAAAGACAGAGTTACAGAAAGTGGTAGAGCCAGAGAGAGCTTCTTCTGGGTCTCCCATGTGGGTGCAGGGATCCAAGGAGTTGACACTAAATTCTGCCATCCCATTAGAGTTTAATAAGTTGGGGCTGGCACTCTGGTAACTTGAAGATGACAATACAGCATATCAAAACTTATGGGATACAGCAAAAGCACTGTTAAGAGAAACGTTTATAGCAACAGGTGCCTACATCAAGAAAGGCACCAAACAAATGAGCTATCAATGCATTTCAAGGATCTAGAAAAACAACAGCAAACCAAACCCAAACTAGTAGGAGAAAAGAAATAATTAAAATTAGAGAAGAAATCAAGCCGGCGCCGCGGCTCAATAGGCTAATCCTCCGCCTGCGGCACCGGCACACCGGGTTCTAGTCCCTGTTGGGACGCTGGATTCTGTCCCTGTTGCCCCTCTTCCAGGCCAGCTCTCTGCTGTGGCCTGGGAGTGCAGTGGAGGATGGCCCAAGTGCTTGGGCCCTGCACCCGCATGGGAGACCAGGAAAAGCACCTGGCTCCTGGCTTCGGATCAGCGCGGTGCGCCAGCTGCAGCGTACCAGCCGCGGCTGCCATTGGAGGGTGAACCAACGGCAAAGGAAGACCTTTCTCTCTGTCTTTCTCTCTCACTGTCCCCTCTGCCTGTCAAAAAAAAAAAAAAAAATTAGAGAAGAAATCAACAGAATTGAAATAAAAAATACAAAAG